GAATAATCTGTGTTGCGCAAACAGTCCTGTGTAATTTTGGGGCCCATTTCAGTGAGTCGGTTATGAAAAGATTTAGAGAGAACTGTTTTGGGCACCTATTGGGACTCCATAAAATTGCATTTAGTGGTCAAATTGTGCATGGTCTGGCACTCCGGTGAGTCGGAGGACTTGGTGTGAAGGACATGATGAGCCTTAGTTATCCAATAGGGTCCAACGTTGCTCAATTCAGTGTAAAGGATTTTTGTTTGATAAGTGGTCTAAAATGTGGAAGCGAGCCTGACATAACGTCTGCCGGGGAAGATCATAAGCGATTTATGAAAGCACATTTTACCAACAGGAGTCACATTACTGGCCAGGACTTAGAAAATGCATTCCTAAAGTCCGAAAGAGGAAGCGAGGACTCGTTCAAATTGGGACTGCTGTATTTTGTGGTGTGTGTGATAATGGGTAAACCCCAAAATGTAAAGATAAACAAGGACTACTTACATTTGGTTCATAAAATGGATGAATTCAACAAATATCCGTGGGGATCTATATCGTTTGAGTGTCTGCAAGATTCTCTGTTGTTTGTTCTCAGGAAGAAAGAGAGAGATGAAGACAAGGATGGGAAGGGGATAGGAGAGAAAAAGCGGAAAAAGGCGGTGCAGAGTTCAGTGAGAAAAGGGAAGAAAAACGTGGAGGATGAGAAGCCTAAAAGAATTAACAGACCTGCATGGAATATAAAGGGATTGAGCTATGCTTTCCAGGTATGATTTAGTTCAAAATTAGTGTTTGTAAAATTTAAGTTCGTAACTAAGTACTGACTTTGATAATCTATTTGTTGTAGATTTGGGTCTATGAATTAATTACTGAATTGGGAATTCCACCCCTTAGATATTGTAGGCGGATCGAGGAAACTGCATTAGTCCCTCAAATTTGTCGGTGGGAATCCACAGATAAAGTGCCTGAGTTTGGAAAGCTGAACGCTTATATATTTCAAAGCAAACAGGTGTGTAGTTAATAATTGATTACAACAGTATGTTGGTTTCATGAGGAAAGCTGTTTACTATTGTATATGACCTGTTAACTGTATATGTTTGACAGCCTGTTATACTGCGGCTCTTACGACCAAGTGAATTGGAGATGAGGCAACCATATTGGAGTTGGGGATCAGATGTTCATGAATGTGATGCACCTAGTGTAGCACAGCGGGTATGTAAGGACCTTGATGAATTAAACTCTATTGTGCAGCAGTTGAGGAATGAGGTTGCAGTATTGCACCGTGAGAAGGGTGAGCTGGAGGAGAGAGTTTTACGCTTGAAAAAGTGTACCAGTCATGCGAATGCCAGGAAAAGTGAGGATGCTGGAGAGGAGAGACATAAGATTGAGGATGCTGGAGAGGGGACACATGAGACTGAGGATGGTGGAGAGGAATGTGATAAAACCGAGGAAGGTGGAGTAGCCAAATTGAGAGAGGAGTGTGTACAAAATGCGAAAGAAGAGGTGCAATATACAATCCCGAATATAAATTGGAATGATCCAGATGTGGTTTCTGTCACTCTTGTTAAATTCCTTACGAATCCTCCTCAAAAGATTGATATGTCCATTGCGGAGGGTGTGGCAAAGATGTTATAGTTGGGGTGGGGCGAAAGAGGGGTTGGGGAAGGAGTGAGACTCTTGGTCCTGTGACGAAGAGGCCAAGGGCAGTGGTAAGGGAAACTCGATGGCAAGGTCGGGAGATTACCGATATTTTGAAGGACACAAATGCTGACCCCCTAAGACCTATTCCTTGTGATTCCCTTCTAGAGGTGGCAAAATTCTATTGCGAATGGGGACAAGAAGTCAAGTAAGTTCCATTTGCTCATCCTTAGTGAAATGTAAATGGTTTATTATGATTACCTATTGAGTCACTGGTGAAACGGAATTGATAATAACAATGATTGACAAATATAGTTCACATGTGCAGTTATGTGGAAACGAAGCTATGGAAGGTTCGCATAACTTCTTTGTTCGGTTGCTGACCAAGGACGGTTGGTTGGATGACTCGGTAAGCATTGATTGATTTGGGATTTTGTCGATAAGCCCTTGCTATGTAGTAATTTATTGATTTGCTAATGGAAACAACCCTTTTATGTAGAACATTGACATGGACTTGCATTTGCTACGGGAGCGGCACAACAAGTTTGGCAAGTGGGAGGGTTCTGACTGGATGATACTGGACACCACTTTTCAGGTCTGTATTATTTCATAAGCATTGTTTGTTTTGAAATTCCGTATCCGTTATGATGCATAACTCGGGTGCCCCTATGCAGAAATGTGCTGCCTTAGATTACACGCAAATGAAGTCGTTTATGGGAAAGGACGAGAGGCAGCACAACAACGGTCTAGTGGGAATGGTGAAGGGCGAAGGGCATAAGTTGGCTAAATCATGGTCATCTGTGAATCAAGTTTTTTTGCCCTTCAACCTACAAAGGCAGAAACACTGGATCTTACTTGTTATCGATTTAAAAGAGTGTGAGATAAGGGCATATGATTCAAAAGTAGATTTGTACAGAACTCAAGCCATCCAACGGGCTGTGCAGCCGGTGGGGAAAATACTGCCCCGGTTGTTACACGAAGCTGGATATATTGGCGACGGTCTACTTCGCAAAAGGGAGTGGCCAGTTATTCGCATTTTGGATGCACCCCAACACGTAGGCGGGTGAGTCATATTTGACCTAAACACATTGTGTTATGAAAGTGTGCTTTTGTTGTACAATGAATGACAGCTTCTTCGCTATGTTTCAGGGGCGACTGTGGGATGTACATTCTCAAATACTGCGAGTTTCTAACCTCCAATGTAGACCTAGCCAATATTTCCCATCATGCCATGCCCTTGTATCGGTTGAAGCTCGCTGTGCAGTTGTTGCAAGGATATTGGAACCTATGATTAATTAGGAGAGGCAATATGACATAACTGGGTGGGTGTGGTATATGAACTTGCAAACTTCATTTCACTGGGTGGGCGGTTTGTAATTCTGTAGGTAACAGTTGTTGAATGGAAGAAATTCGTATAGCTTGGTATTGGCTCAATTCGCGAGATAGAGAACTAACCTTTCTATAATATAAGGGAAGCTCGAAAGCGCCGACACCTCTTTGCTTGAGTGTTTGTTGAAGAATTCGACATGGCTTTGCCCACAAGGGAAAATGAAGATAACAGAAGATGACAACCCTTCCAAAAATTTGCTTAAAACCCCCAAATTCTTTTCCTTCAATTCTGAAAAGGAATTGTATTTTATTTTTTGGGGAGAACTAATATGGAGTTTCAAGTTTGAATTGTCCTGTTTTGGTCGTAAAAATCCGTGACTGTGAGTGGGAAATTCGAAATTTGCAGGAATGTTTTATATTTTGTAACCCTAACCCATGAGCGGGAAAGAAAAACATTGGTTTGGGGAATTTTAAATATTTTTTAACCCTAAGCACTCCACAGTAAACCCTAAACCGTAGACGGCAAACCCCTACACCCTTGAAGTCATCCTTTAATTCAAAATTTCAGTGGAAACAATTAAAAATTGAAAAAAATTGGCATGTGGCGGCATGAGAATGCGCCACGTGGCGGTCAGGCTTGCAGCTCCCCGCTCCAGCGCCCCCACTTGGCATTTGTTGTATATTTTATTCAATATTTTTCCAAAAATCGTTAAAAATGCCTGAAAATTACAGAAAAAATTGGGACATTTCCTAACTCTGTCTGGGGATGAATACTTCATAAGGAAAGTACAAAACCTGGTTTAGGAGCGAGTGAAAAATAAAATTAGGGAACGAAACCTACATTCGGATGATGCAAATGAAAACACTAATACACTTTCTAAACCCTACACTCTCATGTGTTCGATCACATTAATCCCGTATCCAAATTTGTTTGCCCTGCCCTTTTTCGGGATATGTCATCGAAGAAAATATCGTCTCGATCGTTGAGGAATTTTTTGGCAATTTTTCACCCTCAAATTCGATTTTTAATTGAATATTTAAGTGGAAACGATTAAAAAATACAAAACCTGGCTTGTGGCGGCATGGGAATGCGCTGCGTGGCGGTCAGGCTTGTAGCTCCCCACTCCAGCGCCTCCACTTGGCAGTTGTTGTATATTTTATTCAGTTGTTTTTCCAAAAATTGTTAAAAATAATTGAAAATTATGGAAAAAATAGGAAAATTTCCTAACTCTGTCTGGGGATGAATACTTCATCAAAAATACAAAACTTGGCGTGTGGCGGCATGGGAATGCGCTGCGTGGCGATCAGGCATGCAGCTCCCCACTCCAGCGCCTCCACTTGGCAGTTGTTGTATATTTTATTCAGTTTTGTTTTTCCAAAATTCTTTAAAAATGCCTGAAAATTATGGAAAAAATTGGGAAATTTCCTACCTCTGTCTGGGGATGAATACTTCATATGGAAAGTACAAAACCTGGTTTAGGAACGAGTGAAAAATAAAATTGGGGAATGAACCCTACAGTAGGATGATGCAAATGAAAACACTAATACACTTTCTAAACCCTACACTCTCATGTGTTCGATCACATTAATCCCGTATCCAAATTTGTTTGCCTTGCCCTTTTTCCGGAAATGTCATCGAAGAAAATCTCGTCTCAATCGCTGATGAATTTTTCGGCAATTTTTCACCGTCAAATTCGATTTTTAATTGAACATTTAAGTGGAAACTATTTAAAAAATAAAAAACCTAGTGTGCGGCGGCATGGGAATGCGCTGCGTGGCGATCAGGCATGCAGCTCCCCACTCCAGCGCCTCCACTTGGCAGTTGTTGTATATTTTATTCAGTTGTTTTTCCAAAAATTGTTAAAAATAATTGAAAATTATGGAAAAAATAGGAAAATTTCCTAACTCTGTCTGGGGATGAATACTTCATAGGGAAAGTACAAAACCTGGTTTAGGAGTGAAAAATAAAATTAGGGAATGAACCCTACAGTCGGATGATGCAAATGAAAACACTAATACACTTTCTAAACCCTACACTCTCATGTGTTCGATCACATTAATCCCGTATCCAAATTTGTTTGCCCTACCCTTTTTCTAGAAATGTCATCGAAGAAAATCTCGTCTCAATCGCTGAGGAATTTTTCGGCAATTTTTCACCGTCAAATTCGATTTTTAATTGAACATTTAAGTGGAAACTATTTAAAAAATAAAAAACCTAGTGTGCGGCGGCATGGGAATGCGCTGCGTGGCGATCAGGCATGCAGCTCCCCACTCCAGCGCCTCCACTTGGTAGTTGTTGTATATTTTATTCTTTTCTTTTTTTTTCCAAAAATCGTTAAAAATGCTTAAAAATTAAGGAAAAAATTGGGAAATTTCCTAACTCTGTCTGGGGATGAATACTTCATAGAGAAAGTACAAAACCTGGTTTAGGAGCGAGTGAAAAATAAAATTAGGGAATGAACCCTACTGATGAATTTTTCGGCAATTTTTCACCGTCAAATTCGATTTTTAATTGAACATTTAAGTGGAAACTGTTTAAAAAATAAAAAACCTAGTGTGCGGCGGCATGAGAATGCGCTGCGTGGCGGTCAGGCTTGTAGCTCCCCACTCCAGCGCCTCCACTTGGCAGTTGTTGTATATTTTATTCTTTTCTTTTTTTTTCCAAAAATCGTTAAAAATGCCTAAAAATTAAGGAAAAAATTGGGAAATTTCCTAACTCTGTCTGGGGATGAATACTTCATAGGGAAAGTACAAAACCTGGTTTAGGAGTGAAAAATAAAATTAGGGAATGAACCCTACAGTCGGATGATGCAAATGAAAACACTAATACACTTTATAAACCCTACACTCTCATGTGTTCGATCACATTAATCTCGTAT